TTTCCCAGGAGTCTCCCCTCCAGGTACTGACCAGGCTCACCCTGCTGGGCTTCAGCGGAGCTGCCAGCTGTGAGTTGCAGGGTGATATGGCTGCTGGATTGCTCTCCACTCCACCAGAGGGACGCTCAACAGTCTGAAAGAGCCCCGCCGGAGTTTGGGTTATCGGCGATCATAAAGATGCCGTTTGGTTTCTAAAAAAAAAAAAAGTTGTCATTTCTCAAGAAGCATGAAGACGGCTCCAGGTTTCCTCGAGGTTTTCGCACCCGGCGCACTGTGACGCACACTCACGCACCCACACGCTGGCGGGCAGGGCGCCCTCTCACACACACACACGCCGGCGTCGGGGAGGTGGGCGGTGGGCCGCGAGCCGTGGTGTGAAAAAGCAACGCCCGGGGGACAGGAGCCACGCCGGGTTGCCGTGGTTACGGTGGCCAGACGCACGCGCGCCCGCCCCCACACAGTATGTGCGCTAACAAGCCTCAGCTTCACTCCCCCCCCTCGCCTCCGAGTCGGACACACAGCTCGGCTCACGGCCCTGTGCACAGACACGAGAAGCAGGGCGTGTCGCCCTCGCCCACCCCTCACCTGGAGCCTCTGCAGAGGCAGGGGCAGCGCAGGCCGCCCTCACCCCAGGGAAAACACTACCCCCCCTCGGCAGTCCTGAGCCCTTGGGGCACTTCAAGTCAGCTGCTGGCCTCTTGTGCCAGCTGGGCAAAAAAAACAAAACAGTTCACACCCCCGTCTGAGCACGTCAAGAGTCCACAGTCCAGCCTCTGCAGCCTGAAGCCGGAAACAGTACACAGGCCCTGCAGCTCACCGCAAAACCCGGGGTGGATCTGATGGCTGGGTAATGGGAATCAAAGCTGCCCCTTACTGGGGCATCACCAGGCATGCAAAACCTTCAGAAGGCAAAAAACAAAAGACCCGGAGCCCCGAGGTACTGACACGCGTGGGACACCCACCCAGACCGACCTCGCAGGGCCCCACGCAGACGTGCACGCCGCAGCCACAGGAAGAGCAGCAGCAGCAGCAGGGCTCATCCTCAGGCCCGGGGAAAGAGAGGCGGGCCTGTTTCCTGCAGGCCCGGGGGCCAGCGAGGGCACGCACACACCGCCGCCACGCGCCACAGCAGACCCGCCCCCCACCCCCCAGGTCACACACGGGGGTCCAGCCCAGCTGCGGCCGAGAGAACCCCACAGTCACCCCCTCGGCGCAGCTGCCGAGCGGCTCAACACCCTGCAGACGCCCTGCAGAGGCGGGAGGTGTTATTTAACACTCGAGCTGCGTGGAAACTGCAGGGCCTGTATGAAGGCATGGGCTGCTGTCCGAGACACCAGAAACAGTTCCACCTCTTCTCCTGCGAGCCGGACTCTGCTCCCCCGCCAACACAGGCTCACACAGGGCACTCTGCTTGGTCGTCCACAGCAGTTAAGAAAACGACGCACAAGATCAGGACTTGCAAAAAAAAAAAAAGAAACTTCCTGCAACATTGTTGCCAAGTCAAGCTACTTGCAACATTCTCCTACACTGCTGGACCGATCAGCGCGCTGCAACTCTCTGTCACAGTGTCTGGAGTGTGAACACCTCACCTAGAGATGTTACAGCACTGAAATTAAAGCAAAATGAAAGAGAAATTAAAGGGGAGACGGAGCAAAAGCAACCAAAGTGGTTCATGAACACGGCTCCTAAGAAGCCCTCATGTGGTGCTGCTTGAAGATCAGGGCCCTTTGACTCCTGAAGCCAGAGGGATATGAAGACTTATTATTCGGAACAGAGAAGACTGAAACAGTGGGAGAAAAACTTAGGGGATCACAGGGGAAAAGCAGACTCCCGTTGCATAGCAGCGTGAACCCCACCAGATCAGACACAGGCTCCCCGGCAACGACAGCCGTTTATACGCAAGAAGGGAACACAGAGACACAGGGGATTTAAAGAACGCGTACTGCTCTTCAGCTGCGCTGTCCAACACAAGACTGGAAGGAGAGTCCTGGAGCACAGGTCGCACCAAGAATAGTATCGGAGACAGGTCAACACGGGGTCCCACAGCGTCTGGCCAGCCCAGGCACGGTAACTCTCCTTTACTCAGCTCACTGTGACACACCCCCCCCCCGATCCTTCCTCATTGATAATCTTGCTTCGGAACGCCCAGCTCTCTCCCAGAATCCCAGCAACCTGCCAGCCTGCGTGCTTCAGGTTTCGGGTCAGCCGGCTCTCCCTCCACACCGCACCTCCCAGCAGCCAGCATCTCCAGGCTCTTCCAGGGCCTGAGTTCGACCCAGGCAGTCTCTGCCTTGCCTCACCTCGCCAGGAACCCTGGCAGGACAGCTAGCTGCCCAGTACCCTGCAGAAAGGGTAATCCCACAGCCTGTGACTGCTTCTCTGGACTGCGGACTCCAGGACCATAGACCCCCAGAATTTCCTTCCAGCAAAGCTGCACCCCGAACCCCAAACCTCTCGCCACCCACTGCCGACAAACGGACAGGGCGGTCAGCAGAACCCAAGTTCCAGTCATTCGCGACTATGAGACAGCGCCAAAATCACAAGTGGACTCGCCCGGGTTCGAGGGCAGCTGCTTAGGTACCCAGAAGCACTGAAGCTAAGCCAGGGTCTCCAGGCAAAATCTGGCCACCCCCAAAATCTCTCCACCCCCACCCCACCCGCCTTTAACAGCAGGCTGGCTCAGCTCTGGGGGTGTCAGGCTGGCTCAGCTCTGGGGGTGTCAGGCTGGCTCACGCCGGAAATGCAAAGCAGAAAGCAAGACAGGCTGAGTGAGGAGCGACAGCAGACCGGGACAACAAGTGCGTTTTTTAGGGGCGTCTGTGAGCCCCAGCTACTGCCTGGTGTGGGATCTCCGGCGTACTGGAGTGAGCCTTAAGCCTGACTTTGGCCTTTTTTAACTCTGTGGTTTAATGGCTAAAAGCACATGCTTTTACGATGAGCCTGAATGCAGAGATCCGCTGCAGGCTTCTCACTGGGAACCTGAAGTTACACTTCGCATAAGAACAGCAGATGGTTTTGTGTTGGTTTTCTCCTCAGGCGATCATATCTGGTCCACTCATCACAAATACCGCTTCACCCCGTCACGAATACCGAGAAACCACCGCTTGCAATGGACAGGACCATATAGCTCCCCAGCTCACTTCCGATTTGAAAGACACCAGTGGAGGTATTAACTCCGGCTCCTCGTCGGTCCAGTTGGTTTGTTTTCCCCATACAGTGATACAGCCACCACGGGCTCAGCTTTCAACAGCTAAGACAGCAGGCTGTTCTGGTGAAATCTACAACACAGCTGGAATACTCTCATGCTCCTTCGGAAAAACATAATCCTGTTGCATCCTGGCTTAATTTTACGGGGGGGAGCTACCCCACAGCTTTCAATAGGGCGCCTGCACCGACACAAGAGCCACCTGCAGAGCGCACAGTTCCTGGCGTACCTGAGCCACGGCATCACGCCGAGGCAGACCAGAAAAAAACATCTAGAATTAAATTTGAAAAAAACAACACACTTAAAAAAAAAAGCATGGGAAACGAAATTGATGAATTAACGTTTCGATCAGCTCACGGGCAAGGGGATACGTTTGCATTTATTTCCAAATGACGGTCGTGCAGGGTGGAAAAGCCAGGTTCAGAGCCCGGACGCCCGCTGTATTTTCACAGCCCGGCCGGCCAGCGAGCCCCGGGCTCAGTCACAACGCCTCGGCCGCCCGGAGCCCCGTGTCCCCGGGAATCACCCCCAGCCTGTCCCCCGAAACCGACGGGCAGAGCCCATATCCGGCCTGCTGTCCGACACTGGCACCCAGCCCCCCGGCTCACGGCCCGCTTCCTCCGGGGACACCCGAGCCCGAACCCGTCCCCGCGGCACCCGCGGCGGCCCGGCTCCAGCCCGCAGCCCCCGGGCCCTGGCGCTTCCCAGGAAGCGGGCGAGGCCTGCTTCCCGTGCCGAGGCCCCGGCCTTTCCTTACCGCTGTCGCCGATGATGAGCAGCTTGAAGAGGTAATCGTAGTCCCTCGCCATGCCGGCTCTCGGTTAGGGTCCCCCCGCCTTTTTCGCCGCTGCCCGTCTCCCCCCTCTTCCGCTCGCCGTGTGCGAGAAGGAGATCTCTTTCCCCCGGTGGGCGAGTGCTATCCCCCCCCAGCCGGCGCCTTTTTCCTTCGGGGTTCGTCGGTGTCGGCGGCGCTCTCCCTCGGCGGCGAACAGCCGGAAACTCCGCTTCGGTGTGTGGAAGCGTCTGCTGCACCCAGCCCTGCCGACCCGGTGCACTGCGCAGCCGCGGCGGGCCAGCACATCCCCTCCGCTCCCCGCCGCCGCCAGGGGGCGACAGAACTCGCCTTTCCTTCAAGCTCTTGTTTTTCCAGCCATCACTCCGTCTTCGGAGCTCTTCAGGGTCCCGTCCCCGGGGGGGGAAAAGGGGGGGGCGGAGCCTATCCCGGCAAGCAACGGCCGCCAGAAAGGATAACGTGTTCCCGGACGGGATGCCAGCCCATTGCAGGGCAGACAGGCACACCCACACTCACACCAAGGGGCAATTTTCCCAGAAGGCACCCCACCAGCATGTCAACACAGAGCAATCAGACCAGAGCACCTGGAGGAAACCCACGCAAACACATGGAGAACATGCAAACTCCACACAGACAACACCCCGGTGCTGCAAGACACCGATGCCAACTACTGTGCCACTGTTGAGCTTTTGTTGAGCCTTCATCTCGAACTCTTAACAGCGGAGCAGAGGACCGAGGCAGAAGCTCAGCGGGGGAGCGTTAGCTTACAGGGGGACGATCCACACTGTTAAAGAGCCTGAGGCCAACGCTCTGTAGAACAATCTGTGTGGTTTATTTATTAATCAATTGACAATTAGCTGTGTTTCATTTATGAATTGTAGACACTGAGCATCTCAGAATATTTTACTGCTGATTTTGTTCTGTTAGCAATCATTTTTATCACGCTAGGAGTAACAACACCCTTGAATGAAGGGTGCTGTAAGGAGTCAGGAGTGTTTAGTGAAAACTGGGCTGAACCCGCTTGGCTAAGGGCTGGGCTCCTGGCCAGAGGACAAGGACACCCTGGGGCCCCTGTGAGTGAGGAGTGACCCAGGGGCAGCTGCAGAGGGGGAGGTGGAGGAGGGAGGCAGGAGACGAAGGGCTCACATGTAGGATTTATAACGGTACAGGTGGATAGTGGGTGTCGAGAGTGACTGTGAGATACTGACAGCCGAGTCTGATTGAGCTGGGCCGTTGTCGTCCCTCCTGAGCTTTTCGTTATCAACTCCAGGAACGAATCCGATTTGATCAGGAGTTTTGCAGTGCTCTTTTCAAGGGTCTTCAGTGTTATTTCGGGCTGGCACGGCAGTTAGCGCTGCTGGTTTGCAGTCCTTGGCTTCGAATCGGGCCCGTGTGCAGTCTGCATGTCAAAGAGGCGACTGACTGAACACCGCTGGAGTGGGGGGGAGGGTGCAGTCAGGCGGCTGCCCCCTCCGGTGTGCGTCTTTTGACGAAAGAGAAAGGGAAAACCCAGCAGGGCGGGGGAGGTGCTTTAGGGAACAGGGATGAGGTCTTGCAGCCTGGGGTGCTACAGCCAGGGACAATGACATCATCTAAGATCTCCCCCCAGGATCCCCACAGATAAAGCTTCCCCTGCGAAGAGGGCAGTCTGAGCCGTCTGGAGGGGAGATTAAGCATCTTTCTGGGTGGATGAGGAGTTAGGGGCAGACAGTCCAAAGCCAGAGGCAGCTGCTTCTATGCCTGACCACAGATCAAAGGCAGGAGAGACAAGAAGGGGGTGTGTGTCTGTATCTGCCCCGTCTCTCGGTACACCGACTGTACAACCCAGCAGCTCTCCCAGCTGCCTCCACCCCCTACACCGGCTCTCCCAGCTGCCTCCACCAGTTCGACTGCCCTGCTGCCGATCAATTCAACAGCGTGAACAGCCGCTCACTGGCGGGATGAGCCAGTCTGCCCACAAACCAGTCCCACCTGCTGGTGCCCAAGGCCCAGCTGCAGCAGGGGCTGCCCACACCTGGGCCTGCGGACCCCAGCTTTTGGTTTAAATCAAACTGAAGTTGGAGACCCGACCTCGCCCACACCACAGTGAATGGAAGAGGCACCTGCAGCACTCAGAAACTGAAAGCGATTCCCCTCCTTTAATTGGCCTAATTGGAATTGGACCTACTGCCGATTAGGTCAATTTAAGGGTTCAATTCAGCTGGAATGTAATGTGTGGGGCTTCAGAAGTAGGGTTGGGAACCCCTGGGGTGTACTGTTGTGTTGGGGCCTGCTCTGTTCTGTGCTTCGTGGTATGCCCAGGCTCTGTTTTAATAAAGCCACGCTCTGTCCACAAGTCTCCAGCTGCTTGCGGCTGTTATGACTGCTGTCTTTGTCCAGCGTCACAATCGTCAGTGAGTGTCCCTCCCCCTCTGAGTGTTGCTGCTGTCCCACTGGCGCCCCCTACAGGATGACTCCCAGCACCACCAGCGTAGCATCTACAACACCACCAGCACTGTCATGCAGGAACACATCGGAGACCAGCTTTCTGCTCGTTTTTCATACTTTTATTGTCTTTTTCATCAAAGCATTTATTAAACAGCGTTTCTGAGGGATACAAGAGGACCCGCTAGTTTTGAAATCCTCACCAGCTGAAAGCTCAAGTTCCAAGAAACCGTCACTCACCCCGTTAGGGAAAGAAGAAAAACAAACGAAAATTAAATGAAGAGAGAAAGGGGACGTTCACTTTTTCACCTCTTCGGACTCTTTACTTCAGTCTGTCTAATGTTACACACCCATCAAAAACAAATGCTTGCGCTTAACACTGGGGACAAAGAGCAAAGGTTAAGGGTCACGAGGCGCACGAGGGGGAGCAGGACAGGCTGTTTCCAGAATTCACACCGTTTCGCTTGATTCCACGGATGCTAAGCTCGACCGAGGGGGCTGGAGGCATTAAGCGCAGGGATTCCAGCACCTCGTACCGGGGAGAAATGTATCTGTATTCGGTTCAATTTGTTTCCTTCATTCTGGTGAGAAAGAAGAGTGGAATCACACAGTGACGGGGAACGGCTCCTGGGTTCTCCGATCAGCCCCAGGACGGGGCTGTTACAGGCTGGGGCGACGGCCCTGGTCCAATCGGAATTGCCTGCCCCCCGGTGCTGTCAGGACC